ATGTGTATATATATATATATGTGTGTGTATATGTGTGCGTATATATATATGTGTGTGTATATGTGTGCGTATATATATGTGTGTGTATATGTGTGTGTGTGTATGTATGTGTACTGTATATATATATGTGTGTGTATATGTGTGTGTGTATATATATGTATGTGTATATGTGTGTGTGTGTATGTATGTGTATATATATATATGTATGTGTATATGTGTGTGTGTGTGTATGTATGTGTATATATATATATATATGTATGTGTATATGTGTGTGTGTGTGTGTATGTATGTGTATATATATATATATATCTGTGTGTGTGTGTGTGTGTGTGTGTGTGTATAAACACACACACACATACACACTGTAGGCCTTATTATTTCTAAATTACCTTAAATGCAGCCTGGATTGAACACATATGAACCATCACAATAAGTGTGGCTCTTAAACAGACCAAACTATTCGCAGTATTTCAATTACACACATGTGTATGATATGCCGTGGTTATGTCCTTGCCACAAACCAGAAAATAAATAAATAAATAAAAGATGCAGACGAGGGACTTTTAAGTTTAATTTTCACTTAAGTTCTTCCAAAACTTTTGCGGGGAAGGGAAAATCATTTCAGACATATTTTGGCAGCTGAATGTAATTACATTTCATGTTCTTAAGGGGCTTTTATATTTCAGAAAAACACCACAGAAAAATGTTAGGTGTGTTTGTCTGCCTTGACCAAAATAAAAAACATGGATAAAAAAACATTTTTGAAGAATATTAATTTGTAGTCTATAAGCAAAGAATCATGTTACAGACTACATGTTGCAAGTTCATACAGTATATCGGCAGAGACTTCGCTTCGGAAAGGGTCGAGTCAGTCATTAAGTGCGATTTAACCACAAAGCGCTGTCCGCTTCTTGTTGCTGCTGTGTGAAGCTGAAAGTGGTCTGATCTTCATAAGGATCTGTACCCAGCATGCATCTGCTTTTAATCACTGGTGTTGGCCTTAACGTTGCCTTTCAGTTGCGCCTATTTCTAGAAACAAATCTTGAAGCAGATGAATTGTTTGCCAGAGAGACTCATGTTTTCTGGGGGGTCCTTTTGTCTGCTTTCATGGAGGCGGAACAAAGCTTGGGGGAGTCGGCCCAAACCGCATCACGTTTTTTTGGCTCAACCACGGGGCAAATTGAAGCCTTTCATTAAATGGCTAATTTTCTCTGTCAGCAGCTAATGAAAGAATTTATAGCAATTTACAGTAACTCAGGGAAAATAAAAGCTTTATCATCAGTGCTGGGCTTCTGTCTGCAGTATGTTGGATGTGAGAATTCTTGTGGAAATAACTTTATTCTTCACTAAATGTCAATAAATGTTATTCAGTAATAAATGTTATTGCTGGCAGAAGTGCGCTTACCCAGTAAGAATAAAGACTTTGCGTCACTGCCTGTCCCCAGTTCAGTGCGGCCCCACCACTGCTTCAGTCACAGGGGATGTGATCCCTGGTGAGTTTTCATGTTTCCCTTCTGCGGCCACATCAGTCATCATGAAGCCTCACCAGCGAGTTTCTTACATGGTGGACAGGAAAAAATGTTAACATGTAAATTTGGGGTTTGAGTCCAGTTTCCACTGCAGTTTGATTGGGGTGGGAGATCTTATGTAAGCAAGGCAAAGAAAGTGCAGGGATGGGTGGTTTGTGGGTGGGAGGTGCATTTCACAACAAACATTCAAAAGGAAAAGTGATTGTAGCCTTTGTTTACAATGATATTGTACCAACCAATGTTTCGACAGACCTGAAGGAGTCTTTTGGAAATTTTCTCAGCTGCATGTCAGGCAGGGAGGTAGGCAGGGTAGTTATGGAATCTGTTTATTACATGCATGCAAAGTAGACAGTGCCAGCACCATTCCTACAAGGTTTCAACAGGAAGAACTCAAGCATACAACGAGATGAGAGCTTAACCATATCTCCAGAGACTAGCTTTCCTTAGCTTTTGCCCTTTATGTTTCCACGTCACCAAGTGTCTCAAGCCATTTGTCGCACTTAGTTCTGTTTTTCACTCTTAGTCCGTTATTCTCTGAGGATATGTTTTCTTCTTGCTCCACAGCCATAAAGTCGTGCAAAGGTCTGCAAAGGTCGAGAAAACAAGCTCTGAACAGTCCTTGAAGTTTGTGATGTAGGTATTCACTGGCAGTTAAGGTTAACAAAATAATGTCTACATTTTTTTCAGTCTATAATATAGCAGCTCTTTTTATTCTTTATTGGTTTGTCAGTTAGAAAATAATAATAATGTTAGCAGCTGCATAGCACCTTTCCCCGAGAACAGAGAACCGTTTGTTTTATGCAATTTAGAATAGTTGGGCCTTCAACCACCACCCCAACCCCCCCCCCCCCCGCCACAGTCTTACACAAATACTTTCCATTATCATTGCCAAGTGAACCCACTGATGTGTTTATTTTTCAGAAAGGTTCTTGTTCCTTTTCTTTCAAATTCATTTGGAGGGACACTAATTGATCTATGCCTGTCCTGGGGTCATGAAGGCTGCTCGCCTTGTGCTAATTGGCCAGCTGGCAATAGCTGTTTGTTTGGGGCTGGGTGATGCCAAGCCAGCCCAGGCCCCGCTGCTGCGCCAGCGACCCTTCATCGTGGTCTGGAACGCACCCACTGAGGCCTGCCGTCTGCGTTTCCACATCGACCTGGACCTGCGTGTCTTTGACATCGTGGCTAACCACAACGAGACCCTGAGTGGCCCCAATATCACCATCTTCTACCACACCCACCTGGGCCTCTATCCCTACTACTCCCGCGAGCGGCTACCCATCAACGGCGGCCTGCCCCAGAACCAGAGCCTCGTCAAGCACCTTGGCAAAGCCCATGCCGACATCGACAGCCTCATTCCATGCAGGGATTTCCGGGGCTTGGCCGTCATCGACTGGGAGAACTGGCGACCGCAGTGGGTACGCAACTGGGGCTCCAAGGATATTTACCGCAACAAGTCCAAAGAGCTGACGAGAAGCCTTCACCCACGGTGGCCTGAGAGTAAAGTCGAGAAGGAGGCCAAGGAGCATTTTGAGAGGGCCGGTCAATCTTTCATGAACTCCACCCTGCTGCTGGGGAAAAGCCTGCGGCCCGATGGCCTCTGGGGCTTCTACCTGTTCCCGGAGTGCTACAACTATGGCTACAAGCAGCACCCACGGCGCTACACTGGCGAATGCCCCAGCGTGGAGCATGTCCGCAACGATCACCTAATGTGGCTGTGGAGATCGAGCACCGCCCTCTATCCCTCCATCTATCTGGACTATGAGCTTAAGTCTACGCCCAACACTCTCAAGTTCGTCCACTACCGTGTCAAGGAGGCCTTGAGAATCGCCTCCATCGCCCGCAGTGACTACATGCTCCCAGTCTTTGTCTACTCCAGGCCCTTCTATGCCTACACCTTCCATGTGCTCTCAGAGGTAAGGACAATGGCAGTGCACATGCAGTCCTCTACAGTCAGCAGGACATGGTAGTGCATGTTGGGTGCCACCATAGGAAAATACACCAGTTAGCCCAAAACATAATATCACCCAATGGCTGCATCAGTGTGTCACTCTACACCTAATGGTACATCAATCAGAAGGTGAGTGTTATGTCAGCGTTGGTCTGTTTAGTTTCCATAATGTAACTTTCTTCAAGTTTGTCTCGCCTTGCCTGTCAGAAATGGGAAGGAAGTAGCTGTTTGGGGCAGCAGGAATTGTCCTGCTTACAGGCAAGCTTTATAACACCAACAATGTCTGTCCTGTTTAACAGTAAAATCAACTTCCTTTTGAACAATTAATTTAGGATCTAAGCAGACACTTTGAACGAGATTCTTACAGGGTAACTGTGTTTGTTAAATCTGTCATACTGAGGGATGAAGTCTTGTATAAGCTGGTAGGTAGTTCAGTGGTTTGTGCTCTTAATTCTGAAGTTGTTCTGGGTTTCGCTAAGGGTCCTATTCAGTAGACTGAATTTCAAAATATCCAGATGCCGCTCTTCTTTTTTACATGTTTTGTTGGGTACGAGTGTAGGGTGGAATTTTTAAGCGAATGACTCATCTGTAATGTTTCCTCCACAGAGTGACCTGGTCCACACCATTGGGGAAAGTGCCGTCCTAGGGGTGGACGGAGTGGTGCTTTGGGGTTCCTCGGAGTATGCCCAATCTCAGGTGGTCATGTCCTCACCCTCACACCTTCAGATATCCATGATACAGTGGTAAATGGTCACCCGAGGGTTACGTTTAAACCTCTATGAGGGTATGACATTACTAGCATGTCTTACTGACCCCCATAATGCATCCAGTCACACTGGGGTGTGTAGCTGTACTCCATGTCAGGACTGATCTTGCATGTGAATAATAAGATCTGAAGAAACATTTGCCTAAGGGTTAGAAGGAATTTAGTATCTGATTCCTTGTTTATGATCCCAGAGAAACTGCCTGGAAGTGAAGAGGTACATAGATGGCTCCCTGGGTCGTTATGTCGTCAATGTGACCTCAGCAGCCAAACTCTGCAGCAAGGCTCTGTGCAAGAAGAACGGCAAATGTGTGCGGAAAAGCCTAGACTCTGGTGCTATGCTGCACCTCAACCCCGGCTTCTTCCACATCCAACGCAACCTGGGGTCCCAGGGGCCTCACTTTAGAATTAGTGGGCATCTCAGCCACGATGACATCTTGGAAATGAAGCACAAATTCACCTGTCAGTGCTACCAGGGTTGGACGGGAGTCTTCTGTGAGGTGCCTGAGAGATCCCCCTTCCCCCAACGCCCACGGCACAACTTGATAGAACTCTTGGCCTTCCTTTCCCTTCACTTCTCTCATTTGTCTGTACTCCTCATCTTTTGTGTCATTGTCAAGTGTCTCTTACAGTGGAAGGTGGCCTCCCCACAGTAGGTCAGAGTCACTGACAGAATCCTGTTCCATGCTGAAGTATTAAAACAGTAGATACTTCTCATAAAATGACAGACATTTTTAAGTTCTATTGGTTTATCCATCTGTTTCATGAAGCAAAATTATCTAATGACAGAATAAACTCAGTATAACTAACACTCAAAGGCCATTGTGTATTTTTGCTGCCCCATATCACTCAGAAAATGTTTCATCATCAGAAACTGCCCCTTTAAAGAAGGAGCGATATGCAGTATGATTATACGCTGTTTTCTTTGTAGAATCCTTTGTAGAATATTGTTTTTACATCATTCTTTCTAGATTTTCTCTAATAAAAAGCTTTAAAATTATTTCTTTTCAAGGCTTTATGACTACAAGAGAAATCTTAATGTTGATGAGTGAAAGATAATGTTGCCTATTGTGACTTCTATAAAAAGTAAAACATTTCTGATTTATGGACTCAATCAGATACATTATGGAGTATATTACCTGTAACCAGTCACACAAGAAAAAGTGTTTTGATGAATACCCCTTAAGGTTAGGGTTGCCACTGGGGTTAGAGCTAGCGTTAGCATTATGGTTGCCATTTGGGTTAGGGTTGCCATTGGGGTTAGAGCTAGCGTTAGCGTTAGGGTTGCCATTTGGGTTAGGGTTGCCACTGGGGTTAGAACTAGCGTTAGCGTTAGGGTTGCCACTGGGGTTAGAACTAGCGTTAGCATTAGGGTTGCCATTTGGGTTAGGGTTGCCACTGGGGTTAGAACTAGCGTTAGCGTTAGGGTTGCCATTTGGGTTAGAACTAGCATTAGCGTTAGGGTTGCCATTAGGGTTAGGGTTGCCACTGGGGATAGAACTAGCGTTAGGGTTGCCATTTGGGTTAGGGTTGCCACTGGGGTTAGAACTAGCGTTCGCGTTAGGGTTNGCGTTAGGGTTGCCATTTGGGTTAGGGTTGCCACTGGGGTTAGAACTAGCGTTCGCGTTAGGGTTTCCATTTGGGTTAGACCTAGCATTAGCGTTACAGTTGCCATTGGGACATGGGGCAGTAATTAGCACTGTCACCTCACACCTCCTGTCTGTGTTCATTTTCTTATATAGTCATTGTATATGATTGTGTATTTGCTAGGTTACTGCGTGTTGCTCTGATCCATTGCCTGTTCTCATTCCCTAACCTTGTTTCCTTTTGGTTTCTAGTTGTTAGGCCTTATTTGTTCCATTCCCTGGTTGTCATTATTAGTTTATTGTCTTAGTGTTTTCCTTGTTAATGACCCCTTCTTGTTAGTGTAATCTAATCTTGTTTATAAACCCCTTTGATCTCGGAGCCGCCAGTGGATTGTCACTCTTTTCCTGCCTGCCTGTCACTCTCTTCCTGCCTGCCTTGGCTGCCCTGTTGATAGGAAAAACACTTGTCTGGTTTCAAACAGCCAGCCAACTCTGTGTTACAAAATGAATGATGAAAACGTGAATACTTTGCACACAGTAGACCAAACCACCCTCTGCGTCGTCACAATGGACTGCCAGGGAGATGCCTTTGTGATGAGCTCTCTCCGTAGGGCAGCGCTGCTGAGTCAATGGAGTGAAATCACAGCCCTCATAACTTCTCAGCATCTTACCAACATGTTCTCTTTCACTGGGTTGCTGCGTTTCAAACAGTAAATCGGAAAAAGCAACACATTTGTGTTACTCGTAAGACTTTCCCTTCATACAGCTGTATATTTACAGAAGGAATGACTAAAACTTCAAGGTATTTTAAGCTATTGTTCTGACTAACAGTCATTCCTTGGTGGCCACTGCCCTTAGCTGCTGTGCTCCCCGGTACTACCCCACCTCCCCATCCATGCGGCTAAATCCTCCTGCCAAAGCTGCACTCTCACACAGCCATTTCTGTTTCGATTGTATTCAAAGTCTGGTATTACCAATTACCAGCTCATGCTCTGAATTACCTTACCAGCAAACGCTGTCTGCATTGATTTATAAGGTTGTGATGGGACTTACTGTCACCTTGGAGCTGGTTTGATGGACATGGCCATCACTGATTGCAATTTTGCCTCTGTAAGCTATTTCATCCATCCATCCATCCATCCATCCATCATCTACTGATTTTCTGGGTAGGGTCGTGGGGGCAGCAGTCTAAGCAGGGAAACCCAGACTTCCCTCTCCCCAGTCACTTCGTCCAGCTCCTCTGGGGGAATCCCGAGGTGTTCCCAGGCCAGCCTGGACACATAGACTCTCCAGCGTGTCCTGGGTCTTCCCCGGGGCCTCCTCCCAGTGGGACATGCCCGGAACACCTCACCAGGGAGGCGTCCAGGAGGCATCCTAACCAGATGCCCGAGCCACCTCATCTGGTTCCTCTCGATGCGGAGGAGCAGCGGGTCTACTCTGAGTCCCTCCCGAATGAACGAGCTCCTCACCCTATCTCTAAGGGAGAGCCCAGCCACCCTGTGGAGGAAACACATTTCGGCTGCTTGTACTCACGACCTCGTTCTTTCGGTCACTACCCACAGCTCATGACCATAGGTGAGGGTAGGAACGTAGATTGACTGTTAAATTGAGAGCTTTGCCTTTTGGCTCAGCTCCTTCTTTACCATGACCGATGCAGCGCCCACATCACTGCTGACCCGGCACCGATCCGCCTGTCGATCTCTCGCTCCATCCTTCCCTCACTCGTGAACAAGATACTTAAACTTCTACCTGACCCGGAGAGAGCATTCTACCCTTTTCCGGCTGAGGACTATGGTCTCGGATTTGGAGGTGCTGATTATCATCCCAGCAGCTTCATACTCGGCTGAGAAATGCTCCAGTGAGAGTCAAAGGTCATGGTTTGATGAGGCTAACAGAACCACATCATCTGCAAAAAGCAGAGACCTAATCCTGAGGTCACCAACCCGGACACCCTCAACGCCCTGGCTGTGCCTATGTAACATGGTTAATAAATTTCTACTTGCCACTGTGTCAGCTGTGTTTGTGTGTGTGCGCATTTTTATTCTGTGACTTTAAAATTGATTTGCCGGTTGCCTTTAAGTGACGCACCTTACGCTTTCCTCAGTTTGGAAATGCCCGCTTAAGCGGTAGGTCGTGTTTATAATTGTCTCTCTTACTTTAGAAAATTAGTTATTTTTATTGACAATTTTGTTATTAAAGTATATGTACCTTTATGTATGAACAAAGTTTTGTGAGGTCGAGTGATTATATACTGTATGCTTTCTGTTTGTTCTGTGTGTTAGACAAATAGCCAGCCACCAAGTTATGGGTGTGTGCGATAAAGCGGGTGTTTTTGTATTTCCAGAACCAAACTGCTGTGCTTTGAGACGTTCATCTTTTTCACAGGTACATGTTTGTATTGTAATTGATTTACTGTACAATTGTTATTACCTTACGCTTTCAGCAGTTTGGAAATGCCCGTGTAAGCGAACCAAACTGCTGTGCTTTGAGACGTTCATCTTTTTTGCAGAATAAATCAGCACGCTTGGAAACATTGAGTTGCAGTGCAGTGAATTTACACAACGCAAGATAAAACCGGTTACACCTAGAAATTCTGTCCATAAAAGTTATGAACAGAATCGGTGACAAAGGGCAGCCCTGGCAGAGTCCAACCCTCATCGGAAACGAGTCCGACTTACTTCCGACAATGCGGACCAAGCTCTGACACCGGTTGTACAGGGACTGAACAGCCCTTATAAGGTAGCCCGGCACCCCATACTCCCGGAGCACTCCCCACAGTACTCCCCAAGGAACACAGTTGAATGCCTTCTCCAAGTCCACAAAGCACATGTAGACTGGTTGGGTAAACTCCCATGCACCCTCCAGGACCCTGCTGAGAGTATAGAGCTGATCCACTGTTCCACGGCCAGGGTGAAAACCACACTGTTCCTTCTGAATCTGAGGTTTGACAATCTGACAGACCCTCCACTCCAATACCCCTGAATAGACCTTACCAGGGAGGCTGAGGAGTGTGATCCCTCTATAGTTGGAACACACCCTCCGGTCCACGCAATGCTGCAGATCTGTGTCAACCAGGACAGCCCTGCAACATCCAGAGCCTTGAGGAACTCATCCACCCCTGGGGCCCAGCCACTGAGGAGCTTTTTAACCACCTCAGCGACCTCCGCCCCAGAGATAGGTGAGTCCACCCCCAAGTCCCCAGAATCTGGTTCATCATTGGAAGGGGTGTCGGTGGGGTTGAGGAGGTCTTCGAAGTATTCCTTCCACCCACAACATCCCGAGCTGAGGTCAGCAGCACCCTATCCCCACCATAAACAGTGTTGATGCTGCACTGCTTTCCCGCCCTGAGCTGCCGGATGGTGGACCAGAATCTCCTTCGAAGCCGTCTGGAAGTCGTTCTCCATTGCCTCGCTAAACTCCACCCATACCCAAGTTTTTGCCTCAGCGACTGCCGAAGCCACATTCCGCTTGGCCTGCCGGTACTCATCAGCTCCCATAGGCTAAAAAGGCCCAATAGGACTCCTTCAGCTTGATGGCATCCCTCACTGCCGGTGTCTACCGGCAAGTTTGGGGATTGCTGCCGCAACAGGCACCTTATGGCCACAGCTCCGGTCAGCCGCCTCCACAATGGAGATGTGGAACTTGGCCCATTCGGACTCAATGTCCCCTGCCTCCCCCGGGACATGGGTGAAGTTTTGCCAGAGGTAGGAGTTTAAGCTCCTTCTGACAGGGGATTCCGCCAGATATTCCCAGCAGACCCGCACTATACGCTTGGGTCTGCCAGGTCTGACCGGCTTCCTCCCCAGCAGAGCCAACCCACCACCAGGTGGTGATCGTTTGACACCTCCACCCCTCTCCTCACCCGAGTTTCTAATACATGCGGCCGCAAGTCCAATGACAGAACCACAAAGTCGATCATTGAACTGCGGCCTAGGGTGTCCTGGTGCAAAGTGCACATATGGACACCCTTATGCTTGAACATGGTGTTCATTATGGACAATCTGTGACGAGCACAGAAGTCCAATAACCAAACACCACTCGTGTTCAGATCGGGGGGGCTGTTCCTCCCAATCATGCCCCTCCAGGTCTCACTGTCATTGTCCACATGAGCATTGATGTCTCCCAGTAGAACATGAGAGTCCCCAGGAGGAG